TAACTGCTTTTATCATTGTGAATTTCTCTGTGAGCATCTATTTTTCCAGGCTTTCTTTTCTCTTTCTGTGTTGCATAAAATGTCTCTTTCTGATATGTACAATTGTCTTTTTTGTTTCCCCTTTCTTTAACATCCCCGTTGATTAAATACTCGTATATTCTCAGTATCCTTCTGTAGAACGACATTTCTGTTACCTCAAGTCTTCCCTTCATCTGTGAGGGAATTACCCAGCATTCACTGCCCTATAGGAAGACTGTTATTACATACCTTTTAAGCATCCTTTTTTTCCCATATTTTAAAATATTTCTCGGATATTTTAATTTTTGCACTTCTTTGATTTTGACATTTTAGGTTTTTATTTTGCATCTTAGGCTTCTCTTGCTGAACCACGATACGTTTTTTCTCATATTTGATAGTTAGTCTTTTCTTCCTGCTTTCTTTAGCTTAATTTTTCTTTCTCTGTCAGCCAAATCTTCTCTGGGTCATATGTGTATCTTATCTTGCCAAGATGGTGCCCAATGATAATAAATCCCGGTAGAATAGTCTTCTAATATGTCGCTACTGTCGTATATTGCGGTCCGTTTTACAACAATACCAACAGATGATCAAAATAATGAATGCTTTCTCTTTTTTTCCTTTAACTGTGGCCACAAACTCGCAGTTTATGCATTCTACAAACTTCTTCAAATGCATTGAAAAAATTAAGTCACTTAGCATCTCGATTCAGCAATCGAAGACACACCCCTCTTTCCGGTAAGTCCCTTAGCGTTTATGTTGAGCATTAGAAAAAATATCCCCACCCACTCCACAGGCAAAAAAAGAAAAAAATTGTTGTCTGGATTTCTTTGATTAGTAGAGGAATATTACGGTTTCATTCTCATTGAAAAGTATGGAATAAAAGTGCCTTCATAAAATTCAAATAAGAATCAGCAATATTATTGGTCCTGATCTAGCATCTCGGCTTCAGTTACTTTTGCACCGTTCTAAGGTTTCCTCTCTTCGTCTTTTCTATAAGTACTTTCATGATAATTGTTCGGATAAGCACTTTGGTACCTAGACTCTTCAAATTTAAGCGCAGTACTAGACTGGCGGCGAGGTCTCACCAATTTACACATGAGATATAACCGTAAATTCCATGCTAATAGTTTCTTTTCTCGAACTTCTTCCAACTCCCTTCCGACTCTATCCTTTCCAACCAAATTTAATCTTCAAAAATTTAAATGCAATATCAATCATTATCTGATGTCCCTCTTATTGCGATTTCTCTGTTCTCGCTCATTACCAATGTTATTATTTCTAACTCTTTCACACTTGCGTTTCTATGACTTTACTGACTTGCTAGGGTAAACTCGAGTAAAAGAAATATCACATGCTCGGAAAGATGGTTCACTGTGTTGGGTCAGATACTTTTTCTCGTCCGAATCCATCTTGCACACTTATAAATTTACCACTCGACCGTTCATTGAATATTGCTGCCTTATCTGGTCTGGCTTTTCTACTATATATCTTGGGATTCTCGATGAACTCCAAAGAAGCGTCTGTAATGTACTCGATACTAGCCTGGCTTCTCGTCTTCATATAGCATATTGCTGCTGGGTTGAAATAAGGCGACAAACAGTTATATATAAAAATATGTAAATATCATTATTGTTCGAGTCACGGCGAATCGGTAGAGTGATGGAAAATCAAAGAGGTTGGAATTGCGCACACGGGAATTGACGGACACAAATCTTAGGTGAACCTATCGCCAGCCTCTCTGCCCAGATTAAGAATCGGGCCGGTTAAATAACGTTTAGACACCTACGCAACTTCGTGTAGCCACGCCTCTTCCGGCATGCGTCCACTCAAGCACACATTTCCTTCCGTTCAGCACACATGTGAGCCTTGTTTATTCTAAACACCGGATGCATTTCCTTTTTATGCTATCAGCACTTCCGATTTCCGCTCACACACTGATGCAGCGGAATTAAGACCAAAGGTCTTTCCTCAACCGATATCAAACATACAACTGCTTTCCCGCAGCCATGACAGGGCTTCCCTCTGTCACTTTTACAAATGTTTTCATGGAATTTGTTCTAATGAGCTCGACCGCATGGATTTACGCGTACTATTAGAATGATATCTAGATGTCATCATTATTTTCAACAGTAATTTTCATCCTGTACAAAGCCCGGTTAAGATTGTAGTTATGGAGGAAACATCTTCTTGGAATCTGCTCTACAGGTTCGCGGGAAGATGCTGTTTCAAGGAACTTCTCGCTGATGGAATACGAAGGGAATATGCGTGGTTTTCTACTATTTAAGTGGATATATAGGGTCCTAGCCGTGAAGGTCAGTTCTGGTGAACGAGGAATGTCGTTCGTCCGAGCACTTTCCATGGTAGTAGCGATAGAGCAGTGAGAGACACGCCACGACCCGCCTGTGAGTGACTGGTTGGAGAGTGGAAAGTAGTTCTTGTCCAACAAGGACATGGAGAGGCTTTTGAACTCTATGAAGACGGGAAAATAAGGATTTGGCAGCACCCGCACAAATATGACAACAGTACTCCATTTTCTGCCTGATCTGACTCTTGTAAAGGTAGAAAATAAAATAAGGAGTCGGGTACTTACTGGACTAGTACAGGAAGCCGACCATTTTAACTTCAACTTTAGTGATGGATCGTATGTACAAGTTACACTTGAGATCAGGTGTGATTTTGACCCCTAAAGCATGGTACCTCCTCGAAGAGACATCCGTTCATCATGACTGACGGTAGTTCGGGGTCCGATCGGCGGTGATAGAATGTAACCAATTTATTTTTCTAGTTATTAATGTAACTAGTAAGTTTTTTTTCCCGCTATTTTACTATTGAAATAGCTGGATGCAACCGTATGTTCTATTCTAATAATTTCTTTTCTTGCACTTCCCCACCTGTGAAAATTACTGTTAGTTTATTTCTTCCCTGCCACTAATAATCTTCAGAAAATTAAATGCAACGCCGATCGTCATCCCCTGTCACTCTGAAATCTCTTCTTTTATTGCCCTTTTTCCTCATTCTCTTTCTCTCTCAGAAACCCCCTTGCGTTTTCGCGGCGTCATCGCCTTGCTTTTGGTGAAATGATTAAAAATATATGCTTTATGCGGGTTGCTCAGAATGGAACTGCTTCTATCGTGCGCACTGCTGGAAGTATGTACCTACGTATAGCTGGTCACTCGTACTTGAGGATACCTGTCTACTAGGGTGGCTAGCCAATCCCTATTGCAGGCTTTTGCTCAGGCACACTTGTGTTTATTCCACATCCACAAAGCCCACCTGTGATTTATAGTGCATCTACAACGAGCAGACCTTAGTTAGAGTTTCTGCGAAAGAGCGTGTTATCTAGCATGAAGTCACAAGTCATCGTGATCGAGGGCTTGAGAGTCCTGGCCTTGTTCAAACTGTTGATCACGCTAAATAACTGCTGGACGCTGAAATTGAAAGCTTTGTGACAGTATAAGTTGTGTTGCTCGACCAGAAAATCACGTCCATCCTGATTGCACTTTTGAATAAAGCTGTAGAAAGGTCATAAAATGAGGACTACAAGTTAAGAGTTCGGGAAATCCAACAAGTCTTGACATAATCATCGCCCCTTTTCAAATTTCTACATCAGATTATAACTGCGAATAAAAACAAAATTCTAGAGGTTTAGATTTTGTTAAAATTAGGGGTTCTATGCAAATGAAGATTTTATTTAGGATTGAGGTTAGGTGGTACGGCTCAGTCGTTGGTGTGAATTGGAGGTTTAGGAGTGGCAAGATAGATAAGAGGTGTTATCCCTGATAAGTTCTAAAAAGAAAAAGTACTTTTGATTACGGCTGGTCAATAAAACTGGCAAGATAAGAATTGTTACGTCGCACACAGTGGTGTTCTGGAAAGCGTGATTGACACGAAGGAAAAAGACGATAAATAATAGAAGGAACACCAGGAAATGAAAACGACAAATGAAAGAAAGAATAAAAGAAAAAAGAATATGATTGAATGAAGTAAAGAGAGAATGCAAATGAAAGTAAAGAAATCTAAATGAAAATATTAAGAGAAAAAGAGAATGAAAGAAAGAATAAAAGAAAAAAGAATATGATTGAATGAAGTAAAGAGAGAATGCAAATGAATGTAAGGAAAAGAAAGAGTAAAGAAATCTAAATGAAAATATTAAGAGAAAAGAAAGAATGAAAGAAAGAATAAAAGAAAAAAGAATATGATTGAATGAAGTAAAGAGAGAATGCAAATGAATGTAAGGAAAAGAAAGAGTAAAGAAATCTAAATGAAAATATTAAGAGGAAAGAAAGAAAGAAAGCAAAAAGAAAAGAAAAAAGAATATGATTGAATGAAGTAAAGAGAGAATGCAAATGAATGTAAGGAAAAGAAAGAGTAAAGAAATCTAAATGAAAATATTAAAAAGAAAGAAAAGAAAAAAAAAGAAAAAGAAAAAAAAAGAATTGAATGAAGTAAAGAGAGAATGCAAATGAATGTAAGGAAAAGAAAGAGTAAAGAAATCTAAATGAAAAAATATTAAGAGAAAAGAAAGAAAGAAAGCAAAAAGAAAAGAAAAAAGAATATGATTGAATGAAGTAAAGAGAGAATGCAAATGAATGTAAGGAAAAGAAAGAGTAAAGAAATCTAAATGAAAATATTAAGAGAAAAGAAAGAAAGAAAGCAAAAAGAAAAGAAAAAAAGAATATGATTGAATGAAGTAAAGAGAGAATGCAAATGAATGTAAGGAAAAGAAAGAGTAAAGAAATCTAAATGAAAATATTAGAGGAAAGAAAAGAAAGAAAGCAAAAAAAAAAGAAAAAAAGAATATGATTGAATGAAGTAAAGAGAGAATGCAAATGAATGTAAGGAAAAGAAAAGTAAAAGAAATCTAAATGAAAATATTAAGAGAAAAGAAAGAAAGAAAGCAAAAAGAAAAGAAAAAAAAATATGATTGAATGAAGTAAAGAGAGAATGCAAATGAATGTAAGAAAAGAAAGAGTAAAAGAAATCTAAATGAAAATATTAAGAGAAAAGAAAGAAAGAAAGCAAAAAGAAAAGAAAAAAGAATATGATTGAATGAAGTAAAGAGAGAATGCAATGGGGAGAAGAGAAAGAAAGAAAAAAAGAAAGAAAGAAAGAAAGAAAGAAAGAAAGAAAGAAAGAAAAGAAAAGAAAAGAAAAAAGATTATGAATGAAGTTAATAAAGAATGCAAATAAATATAAGGAAAAGAAAGGTTAAGAATCAAAGAAAGAAAAACTAAAGAAATCTAAATGAAAACACGAGGAGAAAAGAAAGAAAGAAAGGAAAAAGAAAAGAAAAAAGATTATGAATGAAGTTAATAAAGAATGCAAATAAATAGAAGGAAAAGAAAGAGTAAAAATCAAAGAAAGAAAACAAAGTAAATCTAAATAAAAACCTGAAGAGAAAAGAAAGAAAGAAATGTAAGAAAGAAAGGAAAAAGAAAAGAAAGAACGCCTATTGAGACTTAAAATTAACCCATTCCTCAAGTGGAACTCGTACATACGATCCATCGTTAAGAATATTGGAAAAATGATCGGTTCCCCTTACCGCACCAGCAAGTACTTGATTCCTCCTGCTATCCTCTAAGTTTTCAGGTCGAAAATGAAGTAAGATTGTTATATATGGACAGGAGCTGCCCACTCGTCACTTTCTAGTCTCAAGAGAGTCCAAAAGCATCACCTGCGCCTTGTGAGTGATGAATCATTTTTCATTCTACAACGTCTGTCTATCAGACAAAACGGTGCAAGCCTTTTCGCTACTCTATCGATATTCCATTAAACCTGTTCAGATAAATTACACACTTATGTAAATTAAGTGTAAAAACCGCTTTAGTTTCCATTCGTTCACCACAGAGTCAGTTTTAGACCCATTTGAGTGAAAAGGTGTAATCGATTTCTATTTAATCCTCAGATTAGCTCATTTGCAGTGGTTAGTAGTAATATGAATCTATTTTCGGGGTGTATGATGAAATTTGTTTGGCCTTGAAAAATATTGCGTCATCCATGATTGCATCAGTTTTTTTTATCACGTCCAGACACCATTGTCTCGACTATCGATTAGTTGTCCTATGTCTATTGTCTGGGATCGACGTTACTCCAAGGAAGCGAACGAAAATGGTAACGCTGCACGAATATACTGGCAAGCTTTACCAGCGAGCAAATCAAAGTAATATAGATTGGACCGGAAACTCTCGTGATATAAATCCAATCGAGATATGGTTAATCTTCAAGGAACGACTTCGTGGAATGGACATACGATGTATTAATATGTGCACTGGGTCATGTTACATTGGGAAAATACGAATTTATTAATTTGCATTAGGGTGTATATTCCTTAGTTTCACCAGTTCTAATCTTCACGGCTAACACCAGCCATACCAGGCACATTGTAGCGAGCAACCCTCAATCCTTCTGCATTCCATTAGTGAGATGGAAGTTCCACTCGAGCATCTCCTTCCCACGAATCGCTGCTTTGTGGAACCAACTCCCAAGTGGATGCTTACCCAATCACTACAATCTGAACCTGTTCCAGTCTAAGGTTAACCGTTATCTTTCACACGTATCCGCATAAACCTTGCCTCTTTCTCTGTAATACTCTACCTCGAGTGGCTCTCAGACCTTGTACAGTGTATAATTCGTTGTAAAAATAGGAAAGAAATGAAAAAGTGATGCTAATTAAAGAACGAATTTATAAGAAAGAAATGAAAATATTTTTAAAGAAAAAAAGAAAGAAAGAATAAATAAAGAAAGGATGAAGAATAATTGTAACTAAATGACATTTGAACCGAAGTAAAAAGAAAGAAAAAAAAAGTGAATGAAAAGCAACGAATAAAAATTACCTGAGGGGACAACTATCAAAGAAAGAAGTCAAATCGATGAGAAGAAAATTAGAATCTGGAAATAATTCATTAAAATATTTAAATAATTTGAAGAAAATTACTAGCCGAAAATTATGTGGACGTGTGTGATAAAAGCCAAAAATCATAACGAAATAAATTCCTTAGCGGAAGAGAATGAACGAATGAAAATAGATGCGATTTCAGAGAGAAACTAATGAGACAAGGTAACCGCCATTTGCAAAACCCAAAATAAAAACGAGTCAAAACAGATAAAAAATCGAAAGAGGCTAGCTAGCAGAATAAAAATGGAGAAAGCAAAATACACAAAAACTTGGAGAGATATGAACGAACAGACAGCTTAGAGCCATAGGTATTTTCTAAGACGAAAAGCTAACGTTGAGTAATCAAATTATACTAACGAGCTGTGCACAGTAATACGCAAAGTTGTCAACCATTTTTTCAGCAACAGTTGATGAAGACAGGTTTATTGTATTAATCAGTTGATGAAGTCAGGCTTATTTCATTAATTATTAGAAATAGCTTATTGGTTTTGCGAACATATTTCAGATTATGCACTTTTCAAACGTCGACAATATTCTCCATCCGGTGAACGTTGCTATGTATATTCATATTCAATTTATCACTAAGCATTTTCTCCAGCAAGTTGAATTCAGCCTCCTCTTTCCGATTGTAAGTATACGTTTCCTTTCGACATTCCTAAGTATATGTTTGCTTTCCCATATTCTTTAAGGTTTTCTCGTTGCTCGCATGTTGTCTTCATGATATACTCAGCATTTGTTTTTGTTTTTTTGTAGAACCACATCTCTCTCTTTTCCTCACTTCAGCATCGATGAGAACATTTTTCAGAATTCAGTGCAACCAAGGAAAATAGTAATTACATAGCATTTCAGCACTTTTTTTTTGTTTTCTTTAGAATTCTATATTCCTGTATCGTAACAGTGCGACATCGTGATCTGAACGCGCATTAGATAAGAGAAAGATGGTAAACGAAGTAGTAAGATAAAGGAGAACTTCGTTTGAAACAAAGAAAAGAGTTCTGAAATGCCATGTGATATCAATCCTCTTGCATGGCTATGAATGCTATAACAATCTCTTCACAGATGAATGGAAACTGGGTCGAACAGAAATGTTGTTCTACATAATACTGAGAACATAATGGATGCAGCTAGTTAATAACCAGGAACTCCGAAAGAAAATGGTAACAAAAAAATCACTTTTACTTAGTGTTACTGAATGAGGAATAACCAAAATGGAGTTTGGAAATGAAATGGTAATCTTTATAACATCAACAAAATACAATACTCGCCAGCGGTGTGAAGTAGGTAAACCACTGCTAGTGGTAGACTACTTAGACAGCATATTACCCCGACTTACAACAGTGTCCAACGTATTTATGAGAATTGGGATATACCCATTAGTGTTCATGGATACGGTGTATAACACTCAACATCAGAAACAGACAGCTGAATGCCGGTGTTGACGTAAAAACGACCCCAAATCAACATGCGGACGACCTCCAAACATAAATAATGCCTACTAGATGCACACACACACATATACATATATTCATAATCATCTGAATCCCGCAAAGAGAAACTAGAATTCTGAAACACTTAAATATTTAAATTATACAAATGATCGCTGCTTGATAAGTAAATTACACGTGAAGTCGGCTCAATCAGTGAAGATCAAACAATACACAAATAAAAAAATCAAATTTTTTTTCCATCTTTCATTCTCTGATAATATATATATATATATATATTCTTTTCCTTACCGGTAGCATGACTCGGAGTGTCATGCACAACGCAATCTTCAAGGGATGAAATTAGTTATGGATGTATGTAAAAGTTCAGATATAACTTAAAATCTATCTGTAAAAGGGCATTAGGAATAATTAGCGAAGGAAAACTTTTCTTTGTCGTGGCGTTTCGTCCACTGGTGACTTTATCTAAATAAAATCCATCAGAGGGTCAAATGCTTGAAAAGTCTCCTTTTATCTTGATTCACACACACACACACACACACACACACACACACACACACGCTCACGCATATATATATATATATATATATATATATATATATATATATATATATATATATATTATAAAGTAAACCGTCTCTAAACTCAACCATGTCTTTCCCACCACTCCTCCATACCCTCTCTGTTAAATTGCATAAACTTGATACTAGCGGTCAAAAAGTATGAATTTTCATTTTATCTTTCATTTCATTTTTGGAAGTGTTATCTGATGATCCAGCGTCCCTTAAAAGGCTCTGGTGAAATAAATTATTATAGTGAAACCTTAAAGTGTTTTTCCGAATTTTTTTAGAATATATATATATATATATATGTGTGTGTGTGTGTGTGTGTGTGTGTGTGTGTGTGTGTGTGTGTGTGTGTGTGTGTGTAAAAATGTTGTGTCAAATTTGTGTCAAATACAAATATGGATCGGAATTCGACAGAAGGATAGGATGAATCACAGATTGGAAACGTTTATATATCTAACATGTGTTTACCATGAAACCGTCATATATCCCGGTATACTATTAATCAGTCAGTCCAAATTAATGCTTATGAACACACGTCTTCGACGATCTTTCTTTCGATATATCGTTTCTGCATAACCGAAATATAATATATATATATATATATATATATATATATATATATATATATATAGTGTGTTTGTGTGTGTATTGGGTGTGTGTCAAGGGTGTGTTTGACTGACTGCAAATTGATTGATAAACAGAACGACACAGCATTGGTTTGCATATGGGTGTTTCTGGGAAGAAAAGTGTGTAACTGAATGCATATGCGTGGACGTTGTGTATATTGTTAGCAAGATTAGTTTAGTTAGGCAGAAGGTTATGTGCATTGTGATATATATATATATATATATATATATATATATATATATATATATATATATATATATATGTGTATAAGGAATAAGACGTTGTGGAGAGACACAGCATATACGATTTTATTGCAGATTTTCTGGAAGTCATTCTTCTCGATTCTGCAGCGTCTACGGATTTCTGTTCCTGATATGTACCAGGAGAGTTACCTGGAACATATACTGGGTTAAGTATATAGCCCTATTTTTTATTATTTTTAAATCTTTTTTTTTTAAATATAGCATTAATAACAGTATAATTAAAAGAAAAAAGTTGTAGTTCGAATGAATGATTTATTTTTTTATGGAACTATTTCGACTAGCATTTGTCAGTCTTGGTCACTCCTTAATTTGAGTAAAAACAATGCAAAGAAGCTCGAAACACTTAAAAATTCAAATCAAGAAAAAAAAACCGAGTTGATGACGTTCACAACATAATAGCAAGTTGAGGTGTAAAGAAAATAAAAGAATTTTTTGTTTTTTACTCTATAAATTACCTTCTCCTTTTTTTTTCTTTTTTTTTAACATAAGTAGTTGATGATGGTCACCAAGGCTTTGCCCCATCTTGTTTCTTTTTTATTGACATGCTTCTGAATCTGGTTAATGGTCGTTTATATTTTGATAATCTATCGTATCATTTTCCTGTAACTGACATATTCGTACCAAAATGGCCGATCATAACTCTCTAAAACTTACTGTCCTTCGTAACTTTAAACAGTGATTGTCCACACGCTGTTTGTCTCGTCCATTTATACAAACTCGTTAACTTGATTAATTTATGTTTACTTACGTTTTTAATCATTTCAACCCAAGCAAGGCGATAATGTCATCAGTACCCAGGGCGTTACATGGAGTGAAAGCGTGAGAAAAGACCGAGTATAGGGAGGATTGAGGAAAGTACAAAAGATGATCGGAATTTAATAAGATAGTAGACATTTGGTGATTGACATTGCATTTAAATGTTGGAAGATTGTATTTATCGGAGAAGAAAATAAATGGAAGGGAGTTCCACAGGCTGGAAGTGCGATAAAAAATCTGTTCGAGTAGAAGTGGCGGTTGCATTTAGCTGTTTGAATGGTAAACAGGTGGAATCTTAAGCTTAAAGTCATGTAGTGGGGATACCAGTGAGAAAAAGCTCGTCTAAGCAGTTGCCATGGGAGTGTCAAAATCTCTTAGCCCTCTTATGTGTTCCCAAATTTTCACCTCTTTCTGATTCCAAGGCCTTTATAGTTCCAGATTAAAACTTCCTCGTTGCTCTCCTATTGTTTCTCACCAATTTCCTGTTCGATAAGTCATTAAATATGGCCGATCAGTTGAAATATCTTCTTCTTCCACTAGACGTGATGCGAACATTCCTACTGGCAAAGTTTAGGCTGCAATGGCCAATCTGTCAGTAGTTTGTAAATCTAGGTTATCTAATTAAATAAAACGAGATTTCTTCCAAACCATCGTCGCATTTGTCTTCCTCTATGATAGCACCTCGTGGATACTGACGAAATCTTTAGGGGGGGCAGCTATTTGCGCGTATGCAATTATGCTAATTGTTCTATTGAATCTATCATGGAAAATGCGCTCAACAATCTTCCATCTCATATGTCATTAAGAGAGAACGGTAATAACTGAAGATCATTATTCTTGAAGTAGGAATGAGTTTATCAATGGCATTTTTGTGGATACCAAAGCATGGGCATATTAGTATTTGTCGTTATACATTCATCCAATGTTAAAACAGAGGATGCCAAAGTGGAGATCGAACAGGGGCGATGGGTGATCCAAAAAACCAAAGAAAATGATTTGTAACGATACGGGACCCAGGCGATAAAAGCGTTAGTTGAAGTAATCCACTGATTTCACTCAAAGAGTTGTGTGTTCTAAAACTTGGAGTGTTGAGTTACTAAAGAAAAGTAACTGAAACTGAGATATCAAGACAAGACATGACACATGGAAATAAAACAATTTACCCCAGTGGACTAAATAAAGAGCTCGGTTCGAAATTCCAACTTATATCACCTGAAGAAAGCTAGTCGGAGCGTACAACTGCCGAAACTTCGTGAATATAGCAATAAAGATGAGGACAACAGTCCGAAAGATGTAAATAGTGTAAATAGTTATAATGCGTCATCACAGAAATATTGACGAATAGATTACTTTACCGTAACAATTTAAAGATAGCTCAGTTGCATTCTTCTTTCACAGAACTAGTGACGGTTGGATGCTCTATGTACTGCATGCCTTTAATCTTTCCTCCTATTTTCTCTATAGTTCATCTGAAAGTGTCACATTTTTTTTTATTGTGGAAAGTGATTAGCGCAAATTGAATTTTGCGTACCAGAGATACAGATTTTCAAAGGCAAACATCCGCTGAATGTTTCAATTGTTCATCACAATTAACTGAATCTTCCTAAATTGCGATATGATACGATTCAAATAAATAATGCTTTAAACAAAGTAAACAAACATATTTTTTTAACTTTGAATGAAATATTGGATGAGCAATGCGTAGCTTTCTTTTTAGGAATATATGCCACATATATGTGCGTATACATTTATATTTTCTACGAAATTTCTCGAATATTCAGACCGGTAAATGTAATTACTACTGTTTAATTAAAAACGTATAAACAGAAAATATATTAAAATATTTGTCTGATTTATATATATAACGTATAAGAAGTTGTGGAGAGCCACCTGGATGTGCTGAAGAGACTCAGCATATAAAATTATATTTCAGAGATTCTGGAAGTCATGTTTCTTTCTGTGCATATCTACCAGAAGAGTTTCCTGGAACATATACTGCATAAGTTTATAGCACTATTTTAATATTATTATTATTTTAATATTATTAATCTTTTTTTAATAAATGTGGGGGGGGCGGTGAAGTAATGGATAGCAGCTTGAATTGAGAAATCAGAGAGTCGAGTTCGAATTCCAGTCGAATACATTATATTCATTTACGTGCTAATACCTTTGGGAAAGGTATGAATCATCATCTTCACCCAACCAGCTATGGGTACATTTTATATCCTTGGATGGCAGAAAGAAATGGCAAACTACTGCGGAAAAAAATCTGCCTCGTCAGTCATGTATCGAAAGATACATGATTGCCTAAGCGTGTCTTATGCATGGCACATAACTGACTGAGTTGATAGACATCGGGTTAAATGCTACATAGATCTGTTATTCCAATATAGATCAAAATATATTTTGATTTTATGGTAACTGTACTTGTGTAGAATTTGTCTCTACTGTCTTAAACGCTTTTCGAATTCAACGTCTCGCTTGTACCTGTTCTTTGCATTTTGGATCAGGCTCTTTTTCTTAGCTTTTACCTGCCGTTTATTTTCTGATTTTTACGACATATCAACTTCAATGGGTTATTTAATGCCGGCAAGATTTTCATTTTATTTTATTTTATTTTATTTATTTATTTTTTATTGCTTGTAATATTTTTTCTTCAAAAAATGTATTGCTGGTAATAATGTATTGGTGGTAATAATTTTTTTCTTCAAAAAATTCATTGCTGGGAATAATTTTTTACAAAAATATATTGCTGGTATTAAAACCTATTTTTACACTTTCGTTTGACCCCAGTTCGGGGATTAACTATTTACCCATAGCTGGAAGCTACAACCGCGGGTCAGGGTGGCCTTGAGAACATGAGCAATTAATAGATGGTTCCATGTTCCTCAAAACCTCCTGATCAGAGGCCTTGCTGTTAGATGTAGTTTATCGTGTTACCCAGGACGAAGGATAATGGATTAAAAATAAATAAATAAAAATCTCAGTGTTATTTTTGCTGAATATCTCCAAAAGCTGATTAGTCAGTTCAAGCATCCCTGTGAGGAATTTGAGCTGAGTATTAACATAAAAAACAAACCCGATGGGTCAAGATGTTTCTTCATCTCCATAAATCAGCATCGATGGTGTGGTGCTTGAAATCATAGATCACTTCACATATCTGGCTTCTAGCATAATCATCAACCTATCGCTTCATATGGAATTGGCAAAGGCATCGACAAAGCAGCAAGAATGATGGACAAAATGAGAACGACAGTACAGGATAAATCAGCTGACCTTACGTACTAAACGAATGATATGACAAGCATGATCCTTGGTACTCTGCATTATGTCAGCGGAACTTGAACAACATAAGCCAGTCAGGTAAAACGCCTAGAAAGCTTCCATCTACGCTGTCAACGACGTATCCTTGGCATCATACAGACAGTCAAAGTTATCAGCATTGTTGTTCTGAAGCAAGTGGACTCCTGAAGAAGGCAACTTCAACCTTTGTCAACGTCGTCTTCGATGGCTGAGTCGCGTACATCGAATGAATGAGGGTGTATACCAAAAGACATACGGAGAGCTGGACACATTACACCATTTGGTAAGCCGCCCTACATTAGGTTCCAAGGACGTTTCCAAGAGAGACCTGAAACACACAGGTATCGACTTTGGTAGCGGAGCACAGCTAGCAGACGATCATATAGGCTGGCAACATGTTGTTCATGGAGTCGAGAATGCCGGGAGTTGGCGATAGCAAACGTTGGACATATGAAGACAACGAAGAAAGCATGAAGACCTTCATTCCACATTCCATATTCGTCTTTTACAACTGCAGAAGAGAGTGTAATGTAATGATTGGTCTGTTCAGCCACTCCAAACGCTACTCGCAAAAGGAAAATGTTTGACTAAAGAAGGCGCTACCTTTATCTCACGAGATCAATGGATGCCTGCTATGTCTATTATTTTGGTCTGTGTCAGGCAAAGCTGAAAACAGCAAATATCTACATGTACACTCGTCTTTGTGATCGCCTGTAATTCTTGCATTTCTTTGCCATCTTTCAGACCCAATTACATTGATTAGAAATGTAGGTAATGAATTGAACGAGCTTGTTGACAACTTTCATCATGCTTGAACTGAGATCACATTAACATTGGCCATTCGCCGGATTCTCTTTCTGATCCAACCTTCAGAATGCCCAGCAGTTTGGAATGGGTATCGACCAGTTGACGAGCGTTCAGTTCGCGTTCAGCTGTTGGAACAGAAACTGTCCAAAATGGTGGGAGCCTGACTCGATCAACCAGTTTTTGCAGTAGATTGTTTCTATTTTATTAATTGTTAGTTTGTTTTTATGCGTGAAATTACGTGAGTCTGAATCCATTGACTGGTGTTTTTAGACGTCTATATGTTAACATATCTTTTTATTGGAGATGTTTCTATATTTTATCATTGTCTTTTTCATAAAATAAAGTTATGATTTTACTTAATTTTGTATGGCAATGGCAGCAACGTACACAGTGGATAAAAGGAAATATATATATATAAATCAGCTGACCTTAAAATATCAGCTTTGCCTGACACAGACCAAGATAATAGATATAGTAGGCATCCATTGATCTCGTGAGATAAAGGTAGCGCCTTCTTTGGTCAAACATTTTCCTTCATATATATATATATATATATATATATATGTGTGTGTGTGTGTGTGTGTGTGTGTGTGTGTGTGTGTGTGTGTGTGTGTGTGTGTGTGTGAAAATATATAGAAAAAGGAAAGAACTGGTTAGGTAAATAATCTAAAGTCCCTTAGTATTTTAGTTATTATTTTTTTAAAAATAGTGCTCGATACAAAAAAGTAGAGCATAAATATAATTATTTATAAAAATATGATTCCATATTTTTAAATATTTTTAAATAAATAATATATATATATATATATATATATATATATATATATATATATATATATATATATGTGTATGTGTATGTGTGTGTTGGCTGAAATTTCTGGGAAACAATGAGACAGAAGAGATTGGAGAATCTGGCACTCACAAGGCATATCTAGTTCAAAAGGGACAGTGGAATGCAGTGGCCCGCTTACCTGACGACTTTCTGTGAAGTCATGTCGGAATGGGTGGCAGGCGTTTTGGCAGAGGGACAAACGTTGCGAAGGGCCACAAGTAATAGAACGTTGTGGAGAGTCATGATCACCCAAGCCCTGAAAAGATACGGCACATAGAAGAAGAAGGACAAGAAGTAAAATTGCAAGACAGCAATATTTGCGAGTTCAGGAATTATTGTGTAGACGTGTCTTATTTCTTTTAGGGGTTTTCTGTTTGTGAGGATAGACCTAGGCGACCGGAAATATATATGATCGATGTTTTGAAAACATTTTATGGCTTTCTATAGCTTCATTTCGGGCATTCACTGATGTTCAAAATCATTTCGTTGTGAAACTAGATTAATAAAACATTACTCTACAGTATGGCGCCCAAGCTATGTTTATTTATGAAGAAGAAAGCTAAAACCAAATTTTTTATTCATAGCTTTTGAGATCATATATTCCCAGTGCCAGAAATTATGATCATAGATATGTAGATAGTTATTAACTGATTCAGATAGATATGAAAATAGATAGAAATCACCTGATTCAGATTTATAGATAGATAGATAGATAGATAGATAGATAGATAGATAGATATGATCAGAATGAAATTTAGATAGATATGAGCAGAAAGAGATAGATCAGTTATTTCACCCTCCACCACACACAAATAATCAAACACAAATAAGCATAAAGCAAATCACTATTGAAAAAATTAACCAGTTTTTCTGTTGATCGCAAAAACGTGAAACCCGAGGTTAAACTACATGGAACTGAATATATATATATATATATATATATATATATATATATATATATAGTGAGAGAGAGGGGGAGAGATGATGCTTCCCTGATCACTATATTTTTAATCTTTAGAAGACTAGAGTAACCTGTTATCTTTTACACATATGTCTATAAACTGTACCGCTTACTCTCTAACTCTCTACCTTGAGTGACTTTGGGGCCTTTTTACAGACTGAAAATTATTCCAAAAATACATAGATAAACATGAACAGAATGAGATAGATAGATAGATAGATAGATAGATAGATAGATAGATAGATATTAACAAAATGAGATAGATAGATAGCTCATAGATATATATGAACGGAAGGAGATAGATAGATAGATGATAGATAGATAGATAGATAGATAGATAGATAGATAGATAGATATTAACAAAATGAGATAGGTAGCTAGCTCGTTGTCTAGATATATATGAACGGAAGGAGATAGATAGATAGATAGATAGATAGATAGATAGATAGATAGATAGATAGATAGATAGATAGATAGATATTAACAAAATGAGATAGGTAGCTAGCTCGTTGTCTAGATATATATGAACGGAAGGAGATAGATAGATAGATAGATAGATAGATAGATAGATAGATATGAACAAAATGAGATAGGTAGCTAGCTAGTTGTCTAGATATATATGAACGGAAGGAGACAGATAGATAGATAGATAGATAGATAGATAGATAGATAGATAGATAGATATGAACAAAATGAGATAGGTAGCTAGCTAGTTGTCTAGATATATATGAACGGAAGGAGATAGATAGATAGATAGATAGATAGATAGATAGATAGATAGATAGATAGATAGATAGATAGATGATCAGAATGAGATGGATAGATAGATAGATAGCTACATCCGACTCCCAAGAGGATGCTTCTCTGATCACTACAATAGTAAGTTTTTGAAGCCTAGGTTAAACTGTCATCTTTTACACATATCGTTATAAACTGTCCCTCTTACTCTGTAACTCACTACTTCGAGTGGTTTTGGGTCTTTGTGCAAGTTGAAAATCATTGCAAAAATGGTGAAGATAGATAGATATGAACAGACTGGGATAGATAGAGTGATAGATATGATCAGACGGAAAAAGAGAGATAGTAACAGTCAACCTAATACAGAGATAATCTATTCGAAAGTGAAGCATGATTTTCGTCAATTGGCTATACAAAACTGGAGTAATTAAGTGTGCATAAATGAGTTAGTTTCCCTATTAATTCCTCTGCGTGTTAAACGGCTTAGCTTACATGTTCTGGTTTGAAGGCTAGGCGTATAGCCAACTGGCTGTCCGGGCAGATTTCGACATCAACCTGCAGTGTCGGCTCAGTGCCAATATGGATGGACCATCCTTAGTCAACGTCTTCCCCTGCCATTGTAATATCCTGTCAGACTCGGAAGCAACAGTATATGACCTGCAGGCCCTCAAAGAATTTCTCTCTCGCTATTGGTCTTTTGTTACCTCGCTTTTTGATTATTTTTTTTTGTTTCATTTCTCAACTCATCTCTGTAGACACAAGTCTCTCTTTATGAACCTGAGATAGAAAATATAGAGTCACTTGCGACTTAGACGTCTTTCTTTTACCCTTTCCTATCTTCTCGCCATCTGTGAAAATATTTTCTGATTTTCTCCGTTTCTCTCCCCTATTTTTTTCTGTTATTCTCTCCTTCTCTCTCTCTCTCTCTCTCCCCTCTCTCTCTGCTTAGGGGCACATGACGTTGAACCTTGATGGGTGACCGCAGTGCTGTAAGCATGGGTGTACGGGTGGTGTGACTGATCGTGGCTCGGTATTGTTAACCGGAGACCCGAATTTCAAATCCAATTGAATTCGTTATATTAACTTACGAGCAAATAACCTTGGGAAAGGTATGAAGTCACCGCTTCTCCCTCAGCTATGGGTTAATTAGTAAAACGATTATTATACCCAAAATTAAAATAAAATTGCGTACAAAATATTTGCATTATGGCATTAAATTATTCACAGAGGTTGATATGCCACTAAATAAAAACAACCAAGCAACATTCTCTCTCTCTCTCTCTCTCTCTCTCTCTCTCTCTCTCTCTCTTAACACCCCCACACACAAAGTCAGAATTTCTCTATTAATCAATGTCAATAGAATAAAAATCGGGATATTCCGTTTTCTTTTGCATTCCTTTTATATGAGCAATATGTTTGTTGAGAACATGTACACCTAGACATTTTGAATTTAATCAGAATACTAGACTGGCGTCGAGATCTCATCAATTTACAGTTGAGCTGACTAGATGTAGCCGTAATTTCTATGCTAACAGTTTATTTTCTCACACTTCTCGCTTGTGGAACTCCCCTCCGGCTCCATGCTTTGCAGCTAACTTGAATCTGCAAAAATTTAAATGCAATGTCTATCACTATCTATTTTCGTCCTGATTACGCTATCCTCTTCCTGCTCATTATTAATGTTTCTGTTCCTAATTCTTCCACATCCTGTAATCCTTTTGTGTCTTAGTGGCTTTACTGCCTTGCATGGGGTGAAATCGATTAAAGAAATTTTTCTGTTTCTAATTCTTCCACATCCTGTAACTCTCTTGTGTCTTAGTGGCTTTAGTGCTCAATTTAAAAAAAATGTTATTTTAGCAGAAGTAAATTGTATACATTTTTTTCTTGGAATAAAAGAAAAATACGTCACGTGTATTTTTATATAGAGTCATTCAAGTAGAGAATTATTAAATGAGGTTTGCGATAAGAAAATAAAAGGCGGCGGTGGGAAATGAATAAAAATGCAAGGTAGATAAAGAATAAACCTATTTATTAAGTAGTTAAGCTTGTTCAGGGAAACATCAATAGCAGTTCTTTGGAAGAACATTTCCGAGTGGAACTCCTTTCTTACCAATGGAATCGGAACCGAATCGCGGCAATTCAACCATTTTGGACGTAACAAGAAAGATTTAGCTTTAAATGTCTGAGCTGGTGAGAGGAAAGAACGGTACTGGACGAAATATTTACCATGGAAGTAACGATAGGCTTGTAACATTTACTCTGCGGGATAATGAGTTTAGAGGAGAAAATAAGTCATTCTCCACAAGGCTGTGTCAAAACTGGTAACTGAGGATTGAGGCTCTCCAACACAAATATGGCAGTAATACTCCATTTTTTTTTTTTTTTTTTGGTTTGGCTTGATTTGATTTGTTTTATGGCATATCAACCTCAATGGTTCATTTAATGCCACAAAATTTTTATTGCTAGTAATATGTTTTTCTTCAAAAATCTATTTTTTCCTTGGAGAAATCTATAGCTGGTAATATTTTTTTTTTAAATGTATAGCTGTTTGTATTGCTGGTACTTTTTTTAAGTATTGCTGATAATAATTTTTTCTTCAAAAATTGTTGCTGGTAATATTATTTTTATTACAAAGAATTTCTGGTATTAAAACCTATTTTTAAACAAGTTTGGGTGTCGACTATTTGCCCATAGCTGGGACCCTAAAAGTTGCTAGCACCCCAGGTCAGGGTGGACCTGGGAACACCAGCAATTAAGAGGTGGTTCCACGTCCCTCAAAACCTCCTGATCAGAGTCCTTGCTGTTGGACGTAGTTTATCGTCTTACCCAGGACGCGGATGTAGTTTATCGTCATACCCAGGTCGTTCATTTTTTTTTTTTTTTTTGGTTTGATTTGCATCTTCCAAAGATAAAACATCGCAGAAGGAGACGTACAAATACCAGACAATTCTTGCAGAAATTTTAGCGATGAATCGTGTATATGAATTCCACTTGACATCTGGCGTGAACTTGTGTCCCAAAATATGTTCAAATCATGGAACAACATTTAGAAGGTATCTGTTTTTCATCTGTTTTTCATCTGTTTATCCTCTGTTTATGATGGCTAGAGAATATTCTGCATCTGTTCGTTGTTGAAGATGAAACTTCAGTAATTTTAGAATATCTATAAGTCTGCTATTCGTCCATGCTTAGAATATTCTTGCCGCACATGTTCCGGCGCTCCTGATACATATTTAGAGAGTCCTAATAAAATCCAATAAGAATCAGCAATATTATTGGCCCTGAACTGACTTCCCGACTTTAGTCACTTCCCCATTGCCGTAAAGTTACTTACCCTGTGCCTTTTCCATAAATATTTTCATGGTCAATGTTCGGATTAGCTCTTCATTGTGGTACTCAGATTTATGAAATTAAACGCAGTACTAGATTGGCAACTAGGTCGCATCAATTAACAGTTTGCATTCGCTAGATGTAAATGTAAGTTCTATGCTAACAGCATTTCTCCCTTGTAGAACTCTCTCTCTCTCTCTCTCTCTCTCTCTCTCTCTCTCTCTCTCTCTCTGCCCCATGCTTTCTAGTTAACTTTGATCTTCAAAAAATGTCAATCTTATCTACTGTCTTCCTGAGTACACTTTTATTGTTCTTACTCTTTAGTAATGTTTTGGTTTTCTAATTCTTATACACTCAGTAACTATCTTGTGTCTTTCTTCTTTGGGGTGAATTTGATTTAAAAAAAAATATCTGAAAATTCCTCCAAGCAAATGATGTAAAACTTAAATTAAATTGCAAATCCAAATAATGTCAGTTTAATTGTCGCAGTAAAAATTACGTTTGTGAAAAGAATGTCATTTTACGTTTGATCTGACGTCAAAGAGCGAATCACTTGTGTTGCTTCGTTGTCACGTGATATCCAATTTAAAAACCGAAACGTTCGGTTATTATTATGATGGGCCGGCCTGTTTTCTGCCCAGGCCGATTTGTTAGGCGACGCCGGGACTGGAACCGGTGTCTTAGGAAGGTTGGAATTGTTGTTGTCGACCATGGTGGAAAAACCCACCACAGTCTAACGTCGTAAAAACTCACAGGACAAAATTTGTTATTTAAGAACAAAAATAAAAGTACGAAATGGGGGAAACCAAAGACAATAATAGTTTTAACAAAAAAGAAAAACGGCAAATTAAAATGCGGGAGGGGGAAAAAAACGAGAAAGAATCAAAAATACCGAGTCAACAAAAGGCAATGGGAAATTTTTGTAAGGTCATTATTATATTTAATTTTTAATCTCAATCTCTCTCTCTCTCTCTATCTATCTCTCTCTCTCTCTCTATATATATATATATATATATATATAACTTACGGTAAATTGGTGTGACCTTTATGTATGTGTGCGTGTCCTTATACGTATGTATCTATATGCGTGTAAGGACATGCACACATACATAAAGGTCTCACCAATTTACAGTAAGTTCTATAGATATATATATATATTAAAACATTATATGTTTATACATTCTTTTTATAGATACAAATATTTAAGTAAATGCTCTGTTTATAATAAACAACATTTACCGGTATATATATATATATATATATATATATATATATATATAAAAACACTATTAAATACCATTTATATGCCTGAATGTCCGAGAAATTTTCATAGAAAATATTCGTCTTCCGACAGGATTCGAACCAGTACCCTATACGGAACCGTCATATGACGTGCCTTTATACCCGATTCGGCCACAGAGAATCGTTCGGTCAGTAAGGTCGAATTTACTGCTTTTAAACTTCAACCATCCATGAATCTCTCACGTACATTCATATCTGCTCAAAGCGTATCCAAATGTAAAATAATTGTCGGACATTGTCCATTTCATTATATATAATTATATTTAATTTCTTTTTATTTGTTCATTTGGTTTATTTGTTTCGGTTTTCCAATAGCCAGCAAATTATAAGCCTAAAGCTGGAATATAAAATTACATTTTTTTTTTCAATTACATTCCGGGTGTGTTTAGTTGGTTTTCCTTTTTCTGCCTTATTATAACCGCGTTGTTAGTAGAATTGGTCACAAGTCCAGCAATAAATCTAACTCAGCTCACAGATATTATTTTCTGAAATGGCAATTGTTACATCAAACGCTCTTCCATACAATATATGAGAGAGACACAGGGAGATAAAAATAATAATAATAATAAATGAATAAATAAAAATGATAATACCTGGCTATGACCTATCTACTAGGGTTGCTAGCCAATCCCTAATTCAGACGCTCAGGTACATTTGTGTTTGTTAAGCACCTATAGAGCCCACCTGTGGTTTATACTGCAATTATGCTGAGCAGACCTTAGTTACAGTTTCTGGGAGAGAACGTGTTATCTAGCGTGATCAACAATCTGAACAAGGCCAGCACGCTCAATCCCTCGGTCAAGATGACTTCTGATTTCCTGCTAGTATAGCTATCGACGGTCCCATAAATGTTCCGCCTACACAATTTCACTCACAAGACTTGGGTCAAACCGTGGTATGGGTTTCGAGCACTTTCCAAGGGTGCCGCAAGCTGGGATCGATCCCCCGCTAGATCCTATAACATCAGGAAGTCTTCTTCCTGACAAATCAACCGTGTTGAGATTCGAACAAATTAAAATTTAACTACCGCTGACAAAATGAAATTCTTTCATTTGTTTTTGATAAAGTCCCTCAGATAATGAAATGCGTTGGCTAACATCAGTTTTCGTTTTGTTTTTTTTCCATATTGTCCTTTTACAGATAAACTCTATCTGAGATTTTTGCACACACACACACACGCACGACACACACACACACACACGAACACACACACACACACACACACACATATATATATATATATATATATATATATATATATATATATATATATATATATATATACACGAGCCACACGGCCCTAATGGCGAGCCGCCGATCGTAATGCCAGTGATCCCCTGGTGGCAGCCACCGGTATGCTACCAGCGGGCAACTGGTGGGCCTCTAGCGGTCTGCCAGTAGAAGCTTTGACGAGACGAGCATACGCCAGTCTGATAGTGGGCCACCAGCGGTAAACGCTAGTGGCATGCCACCCAATGGCGGCAGATTGGTTGGTTGTGTATCGAATAAGTATGCGTTTTGTATGCATATATATATATATATATATATATATATATATATATATATATGTGTGTGTGTGTGTGTGTGTGTGTGTGTGTGCGCGCGTGTGTCATTCGCGGAGTTACAAAACTAACTCTAGCGTATTGTTTTTACATTGTAAACAAATGCCAATCAGCCGAAGTGCTCCATTCATTTTACTGAAGAGCGCTGCATTAGCGCAAGTGGCTGTGGTTTATAGGATTAGCTTATCACTGAACAATGCTATATAAAGCAGCTATATATGTGTGGCTATGTGAGTGTATATATATATATATATATATATATATATATATATATATATATACATATATATATATATATATATATATATATATATATATATATATATATATATATATATATATACTACAATGCACATAACCTTCTGCCTAACTAAACTAATCTTGCTAACAATATACGCAACGTCCACGCATATGCATTCAGTTACACACTTATCTTCCCAGAAGCACCCATATGCAAACCAATGCTGTGTCGTTCTGTTTATCAATCAATTTGCAGTCAGTCAAACACACTCTTGACCAGACGTCTGAGAACTGCCGCCAACAAAACGGTAGCACACACAAATTGCCATCAGAAATAAATTAAAAAAAAAATGACTAAGGTTCATTTCCCGCCAATAATCAGGCAAAGACGCAGCCTAATAATCGCACGTCATGTGCCGAAAGTTTCTGTCCAGCCAGTGCCAATATCCCGGGTATAAGTAATTTCCTGTGTATATAATCAACTATCCCACCTACCATGATCTGCGTTTTTCACTCACCCGCGTCGATCCCTATCATCTGCCGACCTTTCTTCAACTAACCTTTCGCCTTGCCCGCCGACTTTGTCTTTATTTAATCTGTACATTTTCTTCTCTATATATATTGTGTAAGCGGATCTTAGCATTGCCCAAGACTAAATGAGGAACAATTGATGGAGGTGAAATATTAGATTTCAACTGGAATGGAACACTGACCTCTTGCTACATTTTCCCTCACCAAGCACCAATGATTTCAATACTTTTCAAATTTCTATTTTCCCTTTTTCTTTTACACGTCATTTTTTTACGTTTTCTTTTTTTTTTTTTTTTATTACTACAGATTTTAGATTAACAAGTCATAGTCAATTAAACTGGTTCCTCCACCATGCTTTTCTAGTAAGGTGGCTAAGCATCTCGAGTCGTACTCGATCTTACGTATATATATATATATATATATATATATATATATATATATATATATATATCAAGCCCTACCCACATTTCTTGCTGAGGTGTTTAGGTCTCACGCATATATACACATTCTCACAAATATACACACATGCACACATCACACGCACTCCCCTAAAACTGAAAGATAACATTCACTTAACACACGCATCTCCTTCCAGGCAACTAATAAAACTGTCAAAATGACAAAGGAAGGAATTCTGAGACCCAGGAACTTTCTAGCCTCTATTTTAAAAACAACTTGAATGAGGCCGTTTAACCAATAAAAAAACTGAACAAAATTAAGGTTAAAAAACAAATGAAAACTACAGATAAAGTTCACTTTCTTCGGAAACAGTCATTGACTCCTTTAGTTCACTGCTACTAACAAGCAAGGATTTTTTTTCTCCTGATGTTGGCCATGCTGGCCGAAACTACTCGAGCAACATAATTAAAATAATAAAACAAAAAAAATAATATTAATATAAAACACAGTCTGTCTGAAAATTTTAATTTGTTTAATACTTTTCAATATATATATATATATATATATATATATATATATATATATATATATATATATATATATATATATATATATATATATATATATATCAGAATTATCTGCTGAATGTAGTGACCGCAAATAAGTGATTACGTTAGTATAGTACTGGAAGTTTAGAAACTATGGAAGCTCATCTTGATATAAGGGTACTTTTAGCCCGGTTTCCAAAACTGACGACTGGAAATGAAAATCAGAATCGCTAAGGCATCGCTTCTATTTTTGTTAAAACTCTGCTTTAAATTCATCAAGTAAAGCCTTTCATACATTTAACACTATATATATATATATATATATATATATATATATATATATATATTTATGTATATGTTTACTGACAAAAGGTCCAACTATTTAATAAACTCATTCATATCCATATATTTTAATTCATGTGTGAGCAAGCCGCTCTTATCTGGATATACGTGCCTGCTAGGGCCTTTATCCATTACTTGTTGAAGGCGTCACCTCATTTTGTGTTGTCAGACACCCACAGAAGCCACCCGTGGTTTATACTACATAAAATCCAATGGGGAATCAGTAATATTATCACCCCTGGTCCACGTTAATAGACAAAATAAATAACCTTAAATGGCTGAGTTGTAAATAGGCACTTTAATCGGAAATAATTGTTTTTATCAATCGAAATTATTTTTGATTATTATAGATTAAACGCCCCAGATAATGAAAATTAAAAAAAAGAATCATTAATCAGTGCATATTTGTTTATATTGCAACGTTTCATTGACAACTTTTATATTGAAAAAAAAAAAAACAACAAATTAAACAAATTCTTCAATTAAATGTGTTTTGCATATTTCAATTAACTATTAAGGGCAGGGATACAAAATGAAAAGTTTATACCAAGCTTCAAATGCTGATTTTTTTTTTTCATCAAAAATCCGGGAGTCAGTCGCTTTCACTTTCCTATGAATATTATTGGTCCTGATCTGGCGGCTTAATTTATACTGCATAAAATCCACTGGGGAATCAGCAACATTATCGGTCCTGATCTGGCAGCTCAGTTTCAGTCAGTTTCCCACCGACATAATGTTGTCCCTCTGTGTTTTTGTAGAATACTTGCATGGTAATTGTTCAGATGAGC